CCGTGTTATCATAATTAGCCACTTCGTTGGAGACTATAAATGGGGTTTATTTCTGTTATCTGATTAATATTAACTTGTAATCTAGTTTATAAATAAATTTTAAACAAATATCAAAACATTGTAAAAGTAATAAATATTTTTGTTTTTTTCGAAATATACTAATAAAACAGTTTTAATGCTTATCAACACCTTTACCTACATTTAGTTAATCTGAATCCATAGAAAGTATACTAAAAGTAAAGTAAATTTTAAAATAAATCGCGACAACAGGTGATTAGTTGTGGATCATTTCAGACAATGAAGCAACACAAATACAACTTTGTTTTAAAACTAGTATTTAATCACTTTTAGCTAAACTGTAATATTTTGAGTGCAAATAACAAAATTATACATTTCGGCAAAAATGAATAAATGCATACTAAAATTAGGTTTGATTTAAATTTACAAAGTGAAATGCCTAATGCATTTAATCCCTAATGATTTACTTTTTAAAATCATGAATTTCAAATAATTAAAAATATTGACATCAATTTACGCGAATATAATGATGAAAAAATAATTTAATACATTTTTAAAACAAATGTAATACACTAGAAACTATTAAAAATTATACCGTAGATATAAAACACAACAGAAAAAGTTTAATATAAAAAGTTAACTTAAAAAACAAATTATTTCTTATAAACGTCTTTTGAGTTGACTTTAATCCAATCAATATATTTACTGACGCGAGTATAAACCCCGGGATAATTAGGTTGTCCGCACTTAATACCCCAGGAGACCACCCCTATGATCATCCAGCGTTTGTTGGGCCCCTGGAGCATAATGGGTCCCCCGGAGTCTCCCTGACACGAATCCTGGCCCCCATTCCTATTGCCGGCGCACAACATCTCGTCACTGATGGCCACACTATAGGCCGCATCGCAGGCCGTATTGTTCCACACGGGGAGCGACACCTGTCTCAGTTGTGCACTCCCTGTCCCACCAAAGCTCGTGTGACCCCAACCGGTCACTATAGCCAACTGTCCCGCGTAATTGCGGTTACGCTGAGGCAAACAAATTGGTTTAACGGAGTCCGTGAACGCCGTCTTTTCCTTGAGCTTAATGATCGCCAAATCGTTTTCATTTGTATGTCTATTATATTGGGAGTGAATCTTGAAGTACTCGACAGAGAAGTCCTGAGCCTCGGGGTCCGCCGATTGGCTGAAGTCGTAGGCACCCAATCGGACGATTATGTCGTCCGGCGACAGGCTTTCCGGTGATTATGAGATAGAAATTAGATTTTAGTTTTTTGAGGTTTATGTGACAAAATTACTAAAATAAAAATGTAATTACTCTCTGAGACAGTGGGCAGCCGTCAGGATGTGCTGGTTTGTGATGACAGCACCGCCGCAGTAGGGCTTCGTGTCCGACGTCAACAGGAGAGCGGCCTGTCGTATGAATTATAGATGATTTGCATTGGGTTTCAATTATTGAGTGCCTAATTAGCAGTTATGTCATACCATCCAAATCCAGTCCTTAGGGTCGGCCACTGCGCCGCCAATTATACGCGTGTTTTCCGATAGACCACAGACTGTACGGACAAATGA